AAGACTCATTGAGAGTCCCATGGACTGAAAGAAGATCAAACGCATCCATTCTTAATGAAATCAGCCCTGAGTGCTCACTGGAAGGACAGATCGTGAAGCTGAGGCTCCAGTACTTTGGCCACCTCATGAGAAGAGAAGACTCCCTGGAGAAGACACTGATGCTGGGAAAGATGGAGGGCACAAGGAGAAGGGGGCGACAGAGGACGAGATGGTTGGATAGTGTTTTCGAGGTTACCAGCATGAGTTTGACCAAACTGTGGGAGGTAGTGGAGGACAGAGGTGCCTGGCGTGCTCTGGTCCATGGGGTCACGAAGAGTCGGACACGACTAAACGACTAAACAACAACAACAAACCTTTCTTGCCTACTCAAGAAAATTATAGCAACTGCATACGAAGGGCAAAAGGATGCCTGCCAAATCACTGCTGGAAGCGTGTTCCATCGCATGGGAAAAGTGATACTAAATGCTTGATTTCTGGTTGAAGCCAGCTGGGCACCTGTAACACAGGCGACTCGGGTGATATCAGTGACTGGGCTGGAATAGACGGACACTCTTCGCCGCCTGGGTCTTCCACCTTAAAGTATCCTGGACCCAAATTGTTCAGGGCTTTGTCTACCAACACAAACACCTTGAACATGGCCTGGTAGCATACAGACCCTCCAGGTGCCCCTATTCTCCAGGGGCAGTCCCAGATTTACAGAAGCCATTCCGGTTTCTGATTTGATCCTGGAATGTCCTGCTTTTCCTTAGGACGTCCCTATTTTGATCTGAGAAATGTTGGAGGGTCGGGAGCCAAGGAGATCAGCAACAATGCAACCTTTAGAAGAGATCTGAAGGCAGCCCTGTATATGGAAGTTTTTAAATGTTTAATGTTTGGTTATGTTTTTATATACGTTGGAAGCTGCCCAGGGTGGCTGGGGCAATAATAAATAATATAAATAATAAAAGTATTATTATTATTATTATTATTATTATTATTATTATTAAAATCTCTATTTTCATTGGAGAAATGTTGGACAGCTTATAAAAAATTAAAGGTAGAGGACCCCTGGTTGGTTAAGTTCAGCCAAAGGCGACTATGGGATTGCGGCGCTCATCTCACTTTCAGGCCGAGGGAGCCAGTGTTTGTCCACAGACAGCTTTCCATGTCATGTGGCCAGCATGACTAAACTGCTTCTGGCACAACGGGACACCGTGACGGAAACCAGAGCGCACGGAGGCGCAGTTTACCTTCCTGCTGGAGCAGTACCTATTTATCTACTCGCACTTGTATGCTTTTGAACTGCTAGGTTGGCTGGAGCTGGGACAGAGCAACGGGAGCTCACTCCGTTGCGGGGATTCGAACCACCAACCTTTGGATTCGTAAGCCCAGGAGGCTCAGTGTTTTAACCCACAGCACCACCCGTTCATGGGCGGCATATGGGCAGCCAATAAAGAGGTTTTAGCAGAAGCATCAGGTGCTGTTAGCTGTCTGCCGCACATTGCATTCTTTGCTGGCTTGAACTTCCGGACTATGCCTAAGGGCAGCCCCACATAAAGCTCGTTTCAGTCATCCAAGTTTATATTGTCTTCTATTAATGCAACCATGTCAGGAGCTTGCAGAGCTGCTACTAAACTTGTGGACAGGCCAGGGTCATGTAGGAAAGTGGGACCTCTACCTGCCAAGGTGATGAGAAAGAGTATACATGGCCACCCTGCTCTATGCATCAGCGGTGACTTGAAAAGGCAAACTGCACAAGGACCGCTGTCATATGAATTTACCATAAGATTCTGCACCTTGTGAGGAGAGGAGACAGAGAAGGGGTTGGGGAACCAAATATATATGTCTTATGAAAGTATATATCTTCACCCAAAGTAACAGAATCTATGCTCTGGCAATCTTGTCGTCTCCTTGGCCTAGTTCCTGCTCAGGTGGTAAATGTAGATCCAGGCTGTACAGATTCAGCCTGCAGGGGACGGGTTCACATGATTCAACACTCCCCTCTGCAACAACGACGATGGTAAAAAATATATATCCTAAAGATAGAAGCACATGGAGCTGCACCAGGCAGGCTAGTTCTAGCCTGCAGACTAAGATATAGTGACACAGAAAATCAAGGGACCAGAAAAAGTTCTCTCCCCAGCTTAACACTTTCCTTGCTGAAGCAAAGAGACAAAGGAAACTGAAGGGGTGGAGGTTTCAGTGGCAGCGGCAGCAGAACAAGGGTGAGCGGAAGACGGGAGACGCAGGAAGAGATGAGTCTTATTTTCCCTGCCTCCAGCCAACACCACTCATGGTACATCTTGTAAAATATATTAAAAAATGTACCACTCTAAGTGTCAGGCAGACACAGGTCTGCTAGTCCCCCTCAGGTAGTTTTTGCAGTGAAGTGTCATGCAGCAAAAGATTAGCCCAAGTGTGCTTTGTGTGGCTGAGGTTTTTGTCCTCAGTCATCATGGAAGAAATAGAAGGGGAAATGTACGCATACAATAAGCCTTATCAACATTTAACATCATAAGTTTGGGGTGCAATGCCAGGATAAGTAATAATTATTCCGAAGGTGCAACTCAAGTTACTTCTGTACTTTCTCTCATGAGACAAAACAAAATAAAAAAATTCCTTCCAGTAGCACCTTAGAGACCAAGTAAGTTTGTTCATAGAATCATAGAATCATAGAATCATAGAATCATAGAGTTGGAAGAGACCACAAGGGCCATCGAGTCCAACCCCCTGCCAAGCAGGAAACACCATCAGAGCACTCCTGACATATGGTTGTCAAGCCTCTGCTTAAAGACCTCCAAAGAAGGAGACTCCACCACACTCCTTGGCAGCAAATTCCACTGTCGAACAGCTCTTACTGTCAGGAAGTTCTTCCTAATGTTTAGGTGGAATCTTCTTTCTTGTAGTTTGGATCCATTGCTCCGTGTCCGCTTCTCTGGAGCAGCAGAAAACAGCCTTTCTCCCTCCTCTATGTGACATCCTTTTATATATTTGTACATGGCTATCATATCACCCCGTAACCTCCTCTTCTCCAGGCTAAACATGCCCAGCTCCCTTAGCCGTTCCTCATAAGGCATCGTTTCCAGGCCTTTGTTATTGGTATGAGCTTTCGTGTGCATGCACACTTCTTCAGATACCATGCACATTTCATGCATGCACACGAAGCTCATACCAATGACAAACTTACTTGGTCTCTAAGGTGCTACTGGAAGGAATTGTTTCTTTTGTTTTGACTACGGCAGATCAACATGGCTACCTACCTGTCTCATAAGGCAAACAGCCTTGAGGAATAAATTTCTACTGGGGGAAAGTCCCACACAGCACCACAATGCTGACTGGATTTTCTACCATTCTGATACAGCCATTAAACTTTTCTTAAAAGCAGGAGAACTGATTTGGCCCTTAAATGCTGGACCTTGCAAAGATTCCAGAAGGTTAGGTGGCAAATCTAGCTCAGAGCCTTGTGGCACTAACTGATTTATAGCAGCACAATAAATCTATAATAAATCTCTGCGTCTTTAATTAACAATAATAAATCTGTTAGTCTTTACTGTGCACAATACCCCCAAGCTTTTAAAATGTTTTAATATGCATTGTGTTTTATATTAATTAGTTTTATATTACTAGAAAATGAACTAAACTTTTTTAAAAAAAGAAAAACCCAACAACTTGTTGGTGTTCTTAACAGCAAAGATGGCATTTTCCTCCCATGTTAAGACAAGTGTGAATTTGTCTGAGCTGAGACTGGTATTCGCATTCCCCCATCCCACCATTTTGCTGAATGTTGGAAAACACCTCCTTTCTTATTATGGTGATTATTATTTTTAATATTATCTACTAGTGATTATTATTTTAAATATTATCTACTAGTCCTTTATTTTCCTTCCATGCTTTTAGTTCTCAGGTGATTTCCTTTGCTCTCAGTAGTGTTAATCTATAGCCAAATTTGATTATTTTTATGGGTTCGCGCATGTATCTAACTGCAGAAGAAAGGAGGAACAGGAATAGAGGAAAACCAAAACATGCAAACATATGTCTGAAAGGTGAATGTTCACACAGAATCATTTCCAGGAAATACAGTTTTCAGTGACATATAACTATATTAGAAGTGAAAAACCAAAACCAACAAATATTTGGTATAGCTTTACACAGATATGATCATTTCTGGATCATCAACACTGAAAGTATTGCATCATTGGTAGGTTCCAGTTTGCAATGTGCTTCTGAACCATTTGCACAAGTGCAAGAGACTACAGCGAGTGCTGTTCACATTGACTCGCTGCCCGTAAAGTGAAGGAAGAAACACACATTATCATTAAGCTGTGTGTACCAAAAACTGGCTAATGAACGCTTCAGCATCATCTTAAGTGATGGTCGGCCAAGAGTTTGGGCACAGCCTCAGACCTGATTTCAAAGACTAAAGCTGAGCCGTTAGAGATGAGCCAAATCTAGTCATTTCCAGTGAAGATTATTGGCAGTGCCAAACATGTACCGTAATTCCCTTCTGGACATTCTTAGCCCTCTTTGCTGACATGTTCGTTTATTCATTTACATTGCCCACATTTACCCACAGTGATGCCATGATGCAGTGAAATCTGATTACCTTTGCTGCTTTAAGATGTCTCTCTATTAGCCGTAAATAATCCCTGATTAGGTGGGATTATCTACATGACTAAGGCAGGAAGGAGAAAGAAGCAGCAAGCAGAGGGGAAATTGTGCCAGGCAGGGTTGAGAGAGGAGGAGATTCACAACAAGTATTGAGGGGTGTGGGTGTTTGTTTGTGTAGGGGGCTCTATCCCACCCAAAACTGGCTCCAAATGAAAAGTGAGCCTGCTTTTTCTTACAGTACAGCAAAGGTCTCTGCACGGAGAAGAAGAAGAAGAAGAAGAAGAAGAAGAAGAAGAAGAAGAAGAAGAAGAAGAAGAAGAAGAAGAAGAAGTGGAGGAGGAGGAGGAGGAGGAGGAGGAGGAGGAGTTTGGATTTGATATCCCGCTTTATCACTACCCGAAGGAGTCTCAAAGCGGCTAACATTCTCCTTTCCCTTCCTCCCCGACAACAAACACTCTGTGAGGTGAGTGGGGCTGAGAGACTTCAGAGAAGTGTGACTAGTCCAAGGTCGCCCAGCAGCTGCACGTGGAGGAGTGGGGAATCAAACCCGGTTCACCAGATTACGAGACTACTGCTCTTAAGCACTACACCACACTGGTACAGCACACCACACCACACCACACTAGAGGCCTTATCGCACACAGGAAAGGGGTCTGCATGGTAATGGGATGGTAGCTATGCCATAAGTTCCTCTTGGAATTGTAGTTATTTGTCAAACTCTGCTCATTCTTCACAAACACAAAAAACACCTCAGTTTCCCACAGAGAATTAAAATGTCAAGTACCACCATATTACCCCTTAGCCACATAATTAGTCTTCTTTGGACAAATTTGATCTCTACACATAAACTAACCAGCATTTTTCCTACCACCTTGTGGCAGGGGGAGGGGGGGCTGTGAAATCTAGGCTAGTGATAACTTACCCAACTGCATATTCATAAACAAGGGACCTTACAAAACCCCCAGCAAGCTTCCAGTACACACACTCTCTCTTCCTCACAAGGAAACTGACTCTGAAAAGCTTCCCCGGATCTTACTTCCGCTTAGAGGCGAGGGAGTGTGCAACCATCTTAGAAGAAACCAGGCATTCAAAGAGCAATTGGACAGGTTGCCTTTGTTCTTGCATAATCTGGGTCTCTGCAAGGGCTGGGCTCCCCTGTCAGGCCTTGGTGGACCAGTCGAGCTCCCCAAGGCATTGCAGTAGAACAAGCCACATTTGATTACAGCTGACTGAACCGGGCCCTGTCCAAACCATTGTGCTTTCAGTTCCATGAATATGTTTTGTGAAGAGACTTTTAAATATAAATGGGACTTTTAAATATATAAGGGAGTTTTAAATATAAATGAAGCTGGTCTCCGAGATTTGTCTTTCTATCCATTTCTTGGCACATGAACCTGCAAATAGTACCAACATCAGCTTGGATCAAGAGGAGGAATTCAACGCCATACTCTTCTAGTTGTTCCCTCAGTGCAGGCGCTTCCGCTTGCCAGATGAAACAGTCCCCCCTCTTCCCTTTCTGTGTGCTGTTCTGGGAGTTCTCCTGACCCCCACAAAACCAATTTCAGAGGCCCATGGGTGGAGGAAAAGGGGAAAGCCTGTTGCACTAGAGCAGGGGTAGGCAACCTAAGGCCCGGGGGCCGGATATGGCCCAATAGCCTTCTCAATCCGGCCCGCGGACGGTCTGGCAATCAGAGAAGAATGTTCCCTTTTATTTAAAATGCATCTCTGGGTTATTTGTGCGGCCTGCCCGGTGTTTTTACATGAGTAGAATGTGTGCTTTTATGTAAAATGCATCTCTGGGTTATTTGTGGGGCACAGGAATTTGTTCTCATTTTTTTTCAAAATATAGTCCGGCCCACCACATGGTCTGAGGGACAGTGGACCGGCCCCCTGCTAAAAAAGGTTGCTGACTCCTGCACTAGAGGATATGCCTGCATGGGCTTCCACTAGTGGGACCAGTTAGCTGATTCCAGACAATAATTTTTATCTTTCCATATATGTTCTTTTTTTCCAACAAAAGGAGGAATTTTCACGCAATGCATCTCCAGACTGATACCTCGATTACATAAATGCACACCGGTAAGGTCCAATGGATTTATCTAAAAGGGGGTTCGTGCACCATTTCTTCACATTCCTTTTTCTTTATTTTGTTTAGCTGCCTAAAATATTTAGCACACTGCCACTCCTCAGTTCATGGGGTGACAATACTGGGGGTTGGGAGAATCGTAACATTTAGGTTTGAAACAACAGGTCCACATCAGGAAATCGCTTTAGTAAAACTCTGCAGCCAAAATAGTAGATCTTAACATCCAGAATACCCTACAGAATAAACATGATTTGTATCCTCTTCAGAAAGAGACAAGGAAGGAGAAACGAAAGATGGAGGGACATTATGGAGCCTGGGGACATTATCCTTCTGACTTTTCATAGTGAAGACATTCAGAGCAGGGTTTGTGGCTGGCACAGGAGATCATGTAGGGAGAAGTGATGTCTAAGGTTATGTGGGACTGAGGCAGTGAAGAGACTTCAAGTCAAGCACTATAGCACCTTTATACTAATATACTGGCTTAATTGGCTATTATGTGCTCCAAAGGGCACAGATCTTGCATCAGGGAGCAGGTGTATATTATATATATATGGTGATAAAATCAACATTTAAAGAGCGGAATTTAAGACAGGCACTTCCAATCATTGTCTGTGCAAACATTCCAGCTTGCCAGATGAAATGATATTACCTGCTTTCCCTCTGCATACTGTAGTGGAGGTTATCCTGACACACCCCCCTCAGCTAATTTTTTGGGGGGAATGGGGGCACGTGGTGGGAGAAGAGAGGGGGAAAGCCCCATTGTGCACACAGAAGGCCTTGTGCAGGGCTCCCATTGACAGGACCTGTTAGCTGTGTTTAAGTTTGCTGTCCGTTTAAATGAGCCAGACCATTCTCCAACCTTGAATTCAGTTTGTGAATATGCCAGAGTGGGATGTTGCTGTTCAGTGAAATGATCCCCACCCTGGAAAAGTCTATTGGCCTTCCTGGTGTAACAGCCATGTGTTCCTCTAGGCTAGATGCCTTCCTGGTGGCTGCTGTGAGCCTCCCAGGTATGGGAGACATTTCAGCAGGGAGACAAAAATCCAGCAAGCCAGGGAAAGGAACAAAGTGCATTTGACCTAGATGGCTGCTTTGTGAAATGCATTTCAAATACATTCGATATGCTCTAATTGTTCAGGCATTACAATTTTTTTTTGCAGTTATCTAAAGCATTAATGAGGCTTTTTAGAGATACTTTGTCTAAACAGGCAGTCGGATGGCTCTGGGAAAGAGCTAAAACGCTGTGGTTGTGAACTGGGCCCACAACTTTGTTTTGAGATGCTTTCTGAATGACGAATCCATCCTTTTGAATGCCAGATTAGAAGACAGTCGAACTTTGGTTCTCAAACTGAATGCATTCCAGGACTCCATTTGACTCCTGGAACTGTTCGAAAACCAAGACGCGGCTTCCGATTGGCTGCAGGAGCATCCTGCAGCCAACCGGAAGCCATGGAAGCTGTGTTGGACGTTTGGCTTCCGAAAATCGTTCGAAAACCAGAACACTCAGTTCTAGTTTTCGATCATTCGGGAGCTGAAATGTATGAGTTCCATGAACTTTGAATGATGTTGGATTGAAATTAAGTGGTTTGTAGCTGTAATGGTAAAAGTATATGGAAAAAATGGTTTTTATAAGTAAAGTTTAAGCTATAGTAATTTAATATGCTGAATAGAAAATAAGGTGTTAGTTAGCTGCAATGCTAGGAGATAAGGATTTGCTGGACAAATAATTTGAACTAGAAAACAAGAAGGGGAGGTATGAGGAAGTCAGGGAAATATGTTATTGGAAATAAGTTGTGAAATGTATGTGTTTTTAATATTTTTTCTTTTTACGTTTTTCTTTTTGTTTGTATAAAATGGAAAACCTTAATAAATATTTCATTAAAAAAAAGAAATGTATGAGTTCCAAGGCGTTCAGCAACCAAGGTACTACTGTGTTAGAAGCCAGTTCACTTCACAGTGGATATTTAAATTTCTTCAATATTGCCTTACAGTGGTACCTCGGGTTACATACGCTTCAGGTTACAGACTCCGCTAACCCAGAAATAGTACCTCGGGTTAAGAACTTTGCTTCAGGATGAGAACAGAAATCGTGCTCCAGTGGTGCAGCAGCAGCAGGAGGCCCCATTAGCTAAAGTGGTGCTTCAAGTTAAGAACAGTTTCAGGTTAAGAACGGACCTCCGGAACGAATTAAGTACTTAACCTGAGGTACCACTGTATTGTGTATACTCTAGTAAATTCCTGTTGATTTGAGATGTACTGAGTTCTTCTACACAATCCACTTTTCAGAAATTTCCAAATGCTTTTTTGGATAGTTCTGAATTAATTCCAGGAGGTTCAGAATCATTGAGATGGGGCTCTCCCCATTTCTTCACCTCCTTCCATTCTGTTTCACTTACCAGTGCTGTGAAAAAGAGTCTAATTATATAGTAAGTTTCTTTAGGAAAAAAGATGTTTTAAAAATGAAAGTGAAAATACTTCAGGAATGTGTACATGATTTGATTTAACCATTTTCATTATCTTTGAATTCAAAGAAAATTTTATACAGATGGACTGCATTTGGACACAATGGTAAACCATAGTTTAGCATTATGACAATGAGCCTTGGGGAATCTGGCTTGCAGGGAGTGCTTCCACTCCACTGAGCACAAGGAGATTAGAAGTTTCCACTTCTGTTTTAGATTCAGCATGCAGTGTCTAAACCATAAACTGTGGTTAATCTTAACTTGAAAAAAGCTAGCCTCAGAAACCATGGTTTGAAGTTGGCTTATTTCAGCTAAGCATGGTGAAGGCTAAGCACATTATGGCTATGTTTGGATGATCAAATCTTGGCTTAATTATAAATTAGGACATGAATAACTTTCATGCAGCTAGGAAGTTGCAGCTAACTGTAGCTTCCCGTTTCTACAGAACTGGGAAACTACGGTTAGTAGCTTCCAAGTAAGCTAGGATATAAAGCCATGATTTAAAACTGACTGATTATCCTAGATTGTTTGGAAGCCATCCATCATGTTTCTTCAGTTCAAACATAATAGGGAGCTATGGTTCACTGTGGTTTCCCTGTTTATTTCCCCGCTTCTATGAAAAGGAGAAGCAAAACAGTTCTGTGTGGGTGTGTGACACTTGTTTATATAGTGGCTTGTTAAACTGAGATTTCATCTTCTGAATATGGCCTTAATCCAAGTTCAAATTACATGGCAAGTCAAGCTAAAATGCGAGAATTTCCAAACGCCTCCTTGTGGTCAGGCCAGAGGAGAAGAGTTTGCATGTGAGCCCAAGGCTCACTTGTAGTTCTGTTACATCCCAACCAGCCTATGATATCTCACACCACAAAGAAATTACAAGAAAGAATTCTAACTGCTGGGGATTTGGGGAGAAATGTTAATTTAATTCTTATTTGATGTAAATGGTCTTTGGTGGAAACATCTGGGGCAGAAGTATAACTGGCTTTATAATGAGAGCGGTTAAGATAAGACTTGATCCTTTTTGCAGTTCGGTTGGTTAAAAAACTGCACCCTGCTATATGTAAACATAAGAGCCTTATTAAAAAATCTGTTAGTGGCAGCAAAGGTTTTTACACACCACAGGAAATATAATGAGCCATTGCACCCTAGTAGGCGGCTGAGGAAAGCGTTTGCAGTGGACAGAATGCACAAATTAATCTGAATTAACATAGCTTTTTACAGAGAAGCGGAAATTGCAATGAACTTTGCAGAGATGTGTCCTTAAGAAAAATAACACTGGGAGAATTACTGTACATATTCTCAGTTAATGAAACCTCTGTTGGGTGCTGTACAGTTTTAATAATACAATAATTAATAATTAATGGAGAAGGGAAAAAACACAGGAAGAGAAATAAGGAGGAAGAGGTAGAGGAGGAGGAGAAAGAGGAAAGGAACCTGTAATGTTAGCCTTAGAGAAAAAAGCATCCTTCATTATAGCTGTCAACTTTTCCCTTTTCTTGCAAGGAATCCTATTCAGAATAAGGGAATTTCCCTTTAAAAAAGGGAAACATTGACAGCTATGTCCTTCATACGCACTATATCGAGGCAGCCAGATATCAAGAAGTTATTCCCACCCTTCACTTCAGAGATGTTTGCTGGCAAAGGTACTGAAAACTTAATCATTAATATAAAAGGGATTCAATCTTCTATTGGAAAAAAGGGGGAGGGAGAATACTTAGTCACATTCAGGAGTTTGTCTAAATATCTCCCCAATTTGGGTGTATGTGTGAGGGGACTGGGATGGCTTAGGATCCTTCAGAGCCAAGCCACTTTCCCTAATGCTCCAGAACATCCCCTTTATGGCTCTTCCACCACCAGAGCGCCAACATCAGCTGGACCAAAACTTCAAAGGTGCTGCTGTGGCAGATGGGAGAGGGAAGCTCCAATATTAGACCTACCTCTCTGGTCCAATCTACAGTATTTGTGTGTTTTTACATTTTGCCAGAAGCCCCCCGAGTGGCTGGGGCAACCCAGTCAGATGGGTGGCATAGAAATAATAAAATTATTATTCTTATCTCATGGTCTCCAGAGACACCCTCCTAGAAATCACAGCATTGCAACTTCAGCAATGCTCTGAAGGCTACGTCCAAAGTACAGTGGTACCTCGGGTTACAGACGCTTCATGTTACAGATGCTTCAGGTTACAGACTCCGCTAACTCAGAAATAGTACTTCAGGTTAAGAACTTTGCTTCAGGATGAGAACAGAAATCGCGCGGCGGTGGCGGATGGCCCCATTAACTAAAGTGCTACCTCAGGTTAAGAACAGTTTCAGGTTAAGAACGGACCTCCAGAATGAATTAAGTTCTTAACCCAAGGTACCACTGTATTGGTTCAACATTCAAGTTACCACTCTGTGTCAAAGTTTTTCCAGAGCTGAACTAGCGGGTGAAAACTTAACCTTAGAAGCACTGCAAGAAAGGATGAGGTTTACCATGAACAAATATTCTCACAAAGACTAATAAAATGGTTCTAACAAACTTTAGTCGTCATCGCCTTCACCCCATTTATTTTCAAGGTACCCACTTGTCCATGTCTATTGCACTCACTTCTGCCCCACTGACAGCCTGAAAGAACTATCTTCCTTCTTTTTTCCCTTCACACAGCCTCCTCACCTTCAGGCATTTCCCCCCTTCATGAGCAGCCAGGAGAACTGCTATTTACAGAAGACGCAACAAGCGATCTGGGGTGTGTGTAGCCCTCGCAAACCGTAATGGCTCCCTCCTCCCTCCTTCACGCGCTAAATAAAGTGAAGACGTTTTCAAGTCTCATTCGTTTCAGCTGGAGAACTAAGGCCATGCTTGTCTCCCTCCATAGAAACCAAGGGCACTTGAAAGTGCTGCAAATTTGGCTGGATTGTGAGGCGCCAGTACCCATCGACATACCTATCAAGGGGACGGAATCTGAGGTGGCAGGCATGATCTCAGCAACAAGCAGCATGAAAACCGTGAGAGACAGGAGGACCGTAATACCTGCAATCAAATTGCAAAGGAGACAAAAGGTGAGGCAAGATCTGAATGCTTTCTGTTTCAAAGATTATGAACAGTGAGCGTGTTCCCTTGATTAGGCATGCAATTAAACATTACATATTGAGCTCAGAACGTCAACTCGGGAGACCCTAATAAATCAAGGACGCAGAGAAATATGTGTTGCTAGGCCCAGCAGAACTACAGCTGTTTCATGCAATGCCCATTCTGCCATTGTCATCCTGGCTGCTTTCTTAACCTGCATTTTCCTTAGTTTTGAGTAGGTCGGCCACATGTCATACTTAACAGAAGACAGTCTTCTATTTTGAGGCACTGTCGGAGGAAAGGCCTCTATTTGAAGGCATCCTCTACTTGAGGGCTGTCCAATCCATGTCTTGTTTAAAGACGAAGAACTGTTTAAAAAATGTAGATCAGAGATCTTGAAGTTGCCCATCAACAATTGGGCACACCTGCACAGCAGACCGGGCAGGTGCACAAGTCAACTGTTTCCTTCCCTGCTATGGTGACATGTGTTGTCCTTCTGTTTCAACCAGAGTTTCCCAAACGTGGGTCCTCCAGCTGTTTTGGACTACAATTCCCATCATCCTTGACCACTGGTCCTGCTAGCTAGGGATGATGGGAGTTGTAGTCTAGAATCCTACCACCTCTGTGTCCCACTTCTGTCAATGTGTGGAGTAGCTCTAAATTCTCAGCTCTTACCCAAGGATATTTTCTCTCCAGAGTCAGCTGGCAGCAAGAAAACAAGCAACGCTAAGCCTGATATGAGGACGCATGGAATCAGTAAATTCAATCCATAGTAGAGGGTGCGGCGGCGCATTGTCACGGTGTAAGTCACATCTGGATATGGCTCCTTACAGCACTCATAGTACAACTCATTCCTTTTACCTGGGACACCTGCACAGAAGCAAATTTGAAGTAAGAAATGAGGAGAAATATGTTGCATTCTTACAGCCCTTGGCTACGTTAGTAGGTCTATGGTCTGGCTCCTCAATCCCCACTCTCATTTTCAAATAATGTAGGCCATGGATTAGGGTCACAGCTCATCAGCAAAACATCTGGAAAGACTCCAGTTCTGAAATTCCGGGGAACCACTGCCAGTCCATGTAGAGAATACTGACCTACAAGGACTCAGTGTAAGACAGCTGCATATGTTTCTAATTGGGCTCAATCCAGATGTCACACCAAGTCATGCTTTGCCAACCATAGCTGTGGTATGAACTGATAAATCATGCTTTCTGCTCAGGAAGCAAATCAGAATTACAGTGGTACCTTGGTTCTCGAACGTAATCCATTCCGGAAGTCCGTTCGACTTCCAAAACGTTCCAAAACCAAGGCATGGCTTCCGATTGGCACAAGTGCCCCAGAAACAAAAGCCAACAGCCACATCGGACGTTCGGCTTCTGAAAAATCATCTAAAACCGGAACACTTGCTTCCGGGTTTTTGGCATTTGGGAGCTGATTAGTTTGTCAAGTAAGCCGTTCGAGAACCAAGGTTCCACTGTATTGTGGCTATAGCCATGGCTGAAGCCACTAGGCCTTAGAGACATAAGCAGAGGGGAAATGACATCACGGAAGCAGCTCTCACTGGGGATTCCCTAACTTACTGCCAATTGCCTGTCTGTAGCCCTGGCCTTGCAGTTACTTCTCTTAGGTGCAGACATGGTTGCCAACTCAAAACCAATTGACGTCACTGGCACTAGCCAATGCAGGCAGACTTCTGCAGTGTCCATGGCAAGAGCATGAGCAAACAATCCCCAGATGCCAGCTAGCTACTTTCCCATATGGCAGATGGTTGCAGCTGGGAGATCAGGGCTTGCCTGAATCCCGTTTAAATTTGCTCCTCCAGGCATCCTTCCTCTATTACAGGAATGCCGGGCGTCCAAATTGTTTGGATGACTTTGAAGGCTTTGCCCTCTAGCTGTGCCTTTATGCCTCTTCTCTACTTATTCTCAATAACTCTTGAGGATGTAATAATTCTTAGCATCTTGGGAAATAAGGTGAGAAAGCAAAGCCTGCCGATGGATATTTAGCTCTCTCCTGGGGCTAATGTAACTCTCTACGCATTTCATTTTGTACACATACTGAAAAATCCATACAAATCTATTATCCAGCCTAGGGCGGGGGTGGGGTTGGAATTTGGTGAAAAACACGCCATATGATAATCGTCAACATTTCCAAAGAACTGTCATAAGAAATACAGCATCCATCCCTCCTCTGGCAAATGTCATTATAGGACTATAACATGTAATTGCCCATTCTTTACGCTCTCCATCAGATTCAAGCAACAATCAATGGTTATTATAATGTCCAGTGTGATGGCTTGCACTTTTCAAGCTGTTTAACAGCACAGCGGAGCTGAAATGATTTATACCTTTTTTTTTTGCTTTAGCATACAACAGATGTTACTTCTGTTTTCCATAGATTCCCTGGCACCTCTCTTGAAAATGTTGGCTCATTTCCGGTGGGGCTGTGGATTGGCCAAGCAAGCCTTAAAGGGGCATGCCTGGAGAGTCTTGCAAGCCTTGGCTGGGTTTGCCAGGCAGCCTGAGCACAAACCCTAAAAGGGCAGGTCTGGGGAAGCTCAGAGCGCTGTGCCTTTAAAACAGCATCTGCTGGAAGAAGCTGCCCGGTTTTGGGGGCCACCTTCCCCAAACGCCAGCCATCGAGGTGAAAATAAAGAATGACGAATGCTCAAACTCCCTTGGCAGGAGAGAGATATCATAAAATGAGATGTTCATTTCTTTATCTGAGAAGGCGGTGGCAGCACTGATGATGAGTGTAGGAACAACATTCTGGACTTTTGTTGTACCTGAAAAAAGGCCTTTGTAGTGGATGCCCTGGGTGCTGCTGCTGCTGCTGCTGCTGGCAGCTTTCCTGACTAGGCCTTGACATCCAACAGGCTCCCCCAGCTCCCCGCAAGCACTCTATAACTCAGCAGAATGTGGGCCTCCAGACCTCTCCAAATCTGGAGGTGGAGAGAGGCTGTGGCGCACGAGGCACCCGGCCACAGCAGGCCCTGGCCCCCCCCCAGGGCACGCCCCACAGAGGGTTTAGAGATGGGTAGAAGCTGGGTTGGGTTGCACCAGTAGATCTCCTGGTGATGTGCAGTAGATCAGCAAGGTTTGCTGACTCCCAGTTGTACATCATCAGCGGCAACAAAATGACTCTCCCTCAAACCTCCGAAATCAGAAGGCTAAGCAGAGGTTGGCTTCTGTGCAAGAGGACTGTGAGATCAGCTCAGCTCTCATACGTATTCAGAGGCACCCTGCTCTTTAATTCTAACTGTTATGGTTTGTGGTTTTTTCACCTGGCTCCAGCTGGTGGTCTAGTTAAAGAAGAAATCAATGTTGATCAGACCATCCTGAAGTCTGTCCACTGCTGCGGATTACTGGGAGGCAGAGGGCGAGGCAGTGTTAGGGTGAGGCTGATGCAGCACAAACACATCAGCAGAACCCATCTGGCGGATGTTCACCACATTGACCTTGTTGCCATTTCTCCATCCCGGTAAGCCGCAGAGGCATTGGGGATGGGAGATCAGGTATGTGTTAGAATTCCTGCTCTATGATTGCAGTCATGGTGTTGTTGTCTTTCACATGACGGTATATGTTTTGACTCCACAGAGTGGGAAGTGATGAAGACAGGATGTTTGTGTTACTGTGTTCTGTGAAGTGGGACTATTGTCCTTTGTTCTTTTTCTCTTTGCTGTCTGATGCTAGAGAGAGAGGGAGCCATGTTGCAGTGCTCCATGTGTGCTTATGTGTAAATAAAGTAGAGTAGCCAAAATGCTGAGTTGCTGAGGTCTGTCACACAAGCCATGCGCAAACTCTGCGGATCCTTAAGTGTGCCCGTGTCGGTTGGCATCGGTTGCTGTGATGTTCAGGCAGAAGAAAGCTTTTGAAGCTCCCGAACAATCGACCAGGAGGGAGGGAACATGCCAGTTGGGCATGTGTCTCTACCAGGGTCCTACTCGAGTGTAGGCTGAACTCCTGGAAGTATGCACCTCCACTTCTTGCTATTGGAGCAACCACTTTGGGGTGCTTTTGGTATCTCTGTTCCAAATAAGAGGCATGCCCAGAGTAAAAAGGTAAAGGTAAAGGGACCCCTGACCATTAGGTCCAGTCTTGGCCGACTCTGGGGTTGCGGCACTCATCTCGCTTTATTGGCCAAGGGAGCCGGCGTACAGCTTCCGGGTCATGTGGCCAGCATGACTAAGCTGCTTCTGGCGAACCAGAGAAGCTCACGGAAATGCCGTTTACCTTCCCGCTGGAGCGGTACCTATTTATCTACTTGCACTTTGACGTGCTTTCGAACTGCTAGGTTGGCAGGAGCAGGGACTGAGCAACGGGAGCTCACTCTGTTCCAAGGATTCGAACCGCCAACCTTCCGATCGGCAAGTCCTAGGCTCTGTGGTTTAACCCACAACGCCACCCGCGTCCCTTTAGCAACACACAAAGAGGGCATGAATGTCTACTGAGTGTTGCTAAACATATGCTCAGAGTGAAGCATATCCATGCTTGCAATTTTAATTTGGAGTGGGGGAAGACAGTGTGCCTCCATTAACAGAAGTTTAGGCAGTGGCGTAGCGTGGGCTGTCAGCACCCGGGGCAAGGCAAGTAATTTGCGCCCCCCTAACCCGTGGATTTGCGCCCCCTAACCTGTGGATTTGTGCCCCCTAACCCTAACCCCCAGATGTTGCGCCCGGTGCGGCCGGCTCCCCCTGCACCCCCCCACGCTACGCCACTGAGTTTAGGGAAGACTGGATTAGATTCACTTGTCTTAGGTTCGTTTAATAAAGCCAGCTTACCCACTAAGTCCCATTCTCCGTTGGATATGTAATTGGAAATATCAGCTTCGAGCATCTGCAGATCAAGCAGCCAGCCATTGTGCGTCCAGGAGCCAAACTTCAGATCACATTTCTGCACATCAAAAGGAAACCAGCGGACATCAATGTAACATGTGCTCTTCAAGATGCCTGTAAGTAATTAGAAACGGGCATGTAAATGTTTCTAAAGGGGGAAAGCGGTGAGATCTTAAAGGCAAGAGTGGAAGGGGAATGAAATTGCAGTCATATCCACCTGTTATCAAGAGTTCAAGGGAGCAGACAGCTTTGAAATGCATTCCAAATTGATCTGCTAACAAACGGTGCCTATAATTCTGCGTTTCAGTCATGGTCTTCAGAGGACCATCTGATGAAAAAGCTGATTGAAAATAATAACTGGCGCCTCACAGTTAAGCTGCATGGAGCTTAAAGGTAAAGGTACCCCTGCCCGTACGGGCCAGTCTTGACAGACTCTAGGGTTGTGCGCTCATCTCACTCTATAGGCCAGGAGCCAGCACTGTCTGCAGACACTTCCGGGTGACGTGGCCAGCGTAACAAGCTGCATCTGGCGAGCCAACGCAGCACACACGGAACGCCATTTACCTTCCCGCTGGTAAGCGGTCCCTATTTATTTACTTGCACCCGGGGTGGTTTTGAACTGCTAGGTTGGCAGGTGCTGGGACCGAACGACGGGAGCGCACCCCGCCGCGGGGATTCGAACCGCCGACCATGCGATCGGCCTAGGCACTGAGGTTTTACCCACAGCGCCACCCGCGTGCCTCCAAGAAACAGATCTCAGGTACTTTAGCTGCATTGCATCTACTTTAGGGGCTGTGTGGTGTATCAAACCACCACAAACAAAATGGAGAGCAACAGCAGAATTGCTAGTTGTGGCCATCATCCATACAGCCAAGCAGATGTTCTTAATTGTAGTAATGTTTCATGCTTCCCACTTCACTAGGAGGTAGGAAATGTCAAGATGGGCAGCTTTGTGAGGAGAGACTCCTTCATGCTATTCTTACGGACTTGGGCCAGGTTATCTTAAAGATTAAAGGTAAAGGGACCCCTGGCCATTAGGTCCAGTCGTGACCAACTCTGGGGTTGCGGCGCTCATCTCGCTTTACTGGCTGAGGGAGCTGGTGTACAGCTTCCGGGTCATGTGGCCAGCATGACTAAGCAGCTTCTGGCGAACCACAGCAGCGCACAGAAACGCCGTTTACCTTCCCACCGGAGCGGTACCTATTTATCTACTTGCACTTTGATGTGCTTTCGAACTGCTAGGTTGGCAGGAGCAGGGACCGAGCAACGGGAGCTCACCCCGTCGCGGGGATTCGAACCGCTGACCTTCTGATCAGCAAGTCCTAGGCTCTGTGGTTTAACCCACAGCGCCAACCCGCGTCCCTATTCTTAAAGATTACCTCCTTCCATATATGCCACCTGAACCTTAAGATCCTCTTCAAAGGACCTTCTCCATTTGCCTCCTCCAAGTCAGCTGAAGCAATTATCAAGTACAGAGCCTTTTCGGGAGTGGCACTGTTCCTACTGAACAACATTCCAGAGACTCTTGCCTGGCACAAAACTCACCTGACCCTGCTTTATACATGATTGGAGCAGATCCTGGGTAAACACCCACGAATTGGGCATGATCACATGCACTTTGATCAGCTGTGAAAATTGCAACCTGCTCGTAGTCCAACTAAGTTCCATGGATCATACTACTTTTGCAAACTTCTGTTTACTGCCTATCACCAAACGTTCTACAAGTCTGTTTCAAATTACAACTGCAATGCTTCTTCAACAAACAACGACAACGACACTTTGGAGCGTGTGCTGACATTCATAAAAAAGCATATAATGGCCATATATTCCCTTGGAATTGATTTCATTTTCTTATAACTTGCTCTCCAGTAAAAACCCGACATCCACCCCCCCTTTTTTGTCTTTGATTTACTTTGCTTTCCTCGAGGGGCTGTCTGCTCTGGCATAAATGATTCATGTGACACTAGTCAAAAGCTATGTAAGGGATTAATATTTATCACGTATTATTTGTCATCTAATTATTTCATGTTCCGCCAGTTAAAATCAGAAGCAGAAAGGAGAGAATAACAAAATGCCTCAAAGGTGCTGTTTGTTCTGCAACTTGTGGTGGTGGACAATTAGCTTGTTTTTGTTAGATAGCCATGTTTTATTGGCTGTTTCGAATGTGCAGAGACTTGATTACGTTAGACCATTACATGCTAGAGACAGTTGGCCTTTCATCACTTGATTGGCAGGCGGAAGAGAGGTAGGCGTAGCCCACTACTCAAGCTGCTGGTGGTAAACTTTCCTGGGCAGCCTCAAGCGCGCTGCTTCAGTCTGGCAGATCGTTAGTGGCGTTTCTAACTTCTTCCAACATAAACATTCCTTGAAGCAGGTCTCCTCCTAGCCCTCTGCGCGGAAGCCTTCTGCGCAAGTGGGCAAACTTGGACTGAAGAGGTCTCAGAAGTTGGAGGGAAGTCCTGCTTTCAGCGTTCTCAGCTGCAAAACACACCCTAGCGTTTCGAGTTACCTATAAGCAAAAAAGCTTAGAGCTTTAGGCGCCCCCAAGAAATTAGGAAGCAGGGGGAAAAAACTCAGGTTGTATATTTCCAAAATGTAAGATAAAAAACAAATAAATTAAAACCTACATACAGCAACAGTGCTTTGTGTTGTGTAGGCTCCTCTGATGTAAATAATGGGCCCCACCTGCTCCCTAAAATATCACATATTTTGTTATGTGCAAATGGCTTTAGATACCTATTACGTCCATAAATTGCTATATGGCATATATTCAACACACAAAAACAGCGACAATTTGTTGTTGACAACGGACAGCTGGACATATAAAGGGCCCCATTACCTTCAGTAGCTTAGGGCCTCATCAAACCTAAATCTGGCCCTCTACACACCATGCGTTGAAGCAAATGTCTTCCCTTGGAAGGATCCTGCAAACTGTAGTTAACTCCTCAAAGAGCTGCTGTGCCCAGTCTCCTTTAACAATCTACAGTTTCCAGGATTCGCTGGTGGGAAGACAAGGGCTCACAGTGATCAAAGAGTGCTTTATGAATGGCATGTAATTATCCGAGATGGAAGAACAGCTTGCCTTAGCCCAATGGAGGAGGAACGGCTCAAGAAACCAACTCCTTTAAAGAGATCAACTCCAATTTGGTCAAAAAACAGAAGAGCAAGGAGTTGGTAAGAGGCTTGTTCTTTGAACTTCTGCACTCTCCCAAATGTCACTTTCGTTTTCAGTACAACTTTTTCCTCAAGTAAGTTTAGCGACAGCCCCACACAGCATATTTATACTCTAGATTGCAATGACAGAATAATCCCCATACATGTTTTCATATGTTGCATATTCACCTCATCTGGTTATCAGAATCACAAAAAGGAACTTCCGAGTGTTAGGTACTTGTCAAGACCTGTCTTTCCTAATACTCTCTCTTTTTTATATACTT